GGATCGATACATGGATCGCATTAAAAGACGAACTGTTCTTCCGAGCTGGTATCCGAAAGTTGACAGAAAGATGGGAAAAGGTAGTGGCTAGCGATGAACAATACTTTAAATAATCCATTTGTAACCATTTTTGCTCAATGTAGCCTTAAATTTCGAATGGAGGGGGGATCTGCACCACAAAATAAAGACACTCTAAGACTGATGTCAACTGCGGCTAGTAATAATTTTTGTAATAAAATTGGTACAATCTAACTGCGCAATTTTTGCTGTCTTTATACTAAACCCTACTGAACTACAAACCCGATTAAGCTATGCAATAAGTCGATTTTAATTTGTTTACTCGCAAACGGGACGTCGTAGAAAAAAGTCAAGAGACCTTTTCTCTTCCAAATTGAACAGGAAATTGAAAAATATTATTTATTTTTAGAAAAATCAGTGGCGTAACGTTTTTTTAATTAAAATTATCTACAGATGTGCCTGTACCCACGCCACTGGAAAACGTGTACTGTTCTTAGTTGCCTACGCCTGAAAAATGTCATTATAATATTCCAAGCGGTTTCCAAAATATTAATAAATAACTTTTTTTTTATTAAAACTTTAACACCCTGTAGATCGCAAACTCATGGTTTTCGGAATTTGGTCTATTAACGAAATATATCCAAAATTACTTGCACTATCACCCCCTGCAAAAAATGCATCTACTTACCAAACACCCTGTATACATGAAAATCGCCGCAGGATGGACATCACGGTACAATAGTGAGAAACCAAATAAATTACATCTTGATGAATCACCGACTCCGGAATAGCATTAGACCTGTTAAAACCTACCCAGACGCTGACACAAACTCAAACTACAAATTACTCTGCTCCGAAATTCAAATGAAATTAAAAAGACCAATAAAACCTTATAAAACAAACAGAATGTGCGTTGATCCCCTCAGAAACTCTGAAACACGTGAACGCATAAACACCAACTAATAATAGAACCATAAGTCTTAAATGCGGAAGAATACTGACATGAGATACAAAGACCGATTATAGAACGAACAAAGGATTTCTTAAAACCATCTAAGAGAATAGCAAAAATCGAGTGGATGACAAGAAATTCTGAATCTAATGGAATCCCGAAAAGGATATAAAAACAAAGACATTACCAGATACTGCGATATCAACAAAACCATAAAAAAATTAAACAAGCCAAAGAACGATGGCTTGAAATCTCCTGTAAAGAAATTGAAGATCTCCTGAAAAAACACGACAACTTCAATCTCCATAAAAACCTGAAATATATCTCCGCAATCAAAAAACCAAAACATGTCAACCTACTCAAAGACTCGGAAGGAAAATTCCTAGATTACGAACAACGATGCAGAGAATGGGAGAGGTACGTCACTGACCACTTCGACTATGCCAACCGAGGAAACAGGACACACACGATCTGTGACGAGATAGACAGAGGCCTCCGTTTACTGAAGGCAAAGCTCCCGAAAGCAGTACAGCAAGTAAAAAATAACAGGACCAACTTCCTGCTGAATTGCTTAAAGTTCTAGAGGAAGAGATTGTTTGCCTAACCACAATTTTAATAAAATATACAGCAAAGGAAGACTACGAGACGATTGGCTAGAGTCGCCTTCGTAACATTACCGAAAAAAAGTAGGCCCAATAAATATGGCGATTTTAGACTTAGTAGTCGAATGAGACACGATCAAGATCTTTTTGCGAATAATACAACATCAAATGTTCCTACTATGGGAACCAGAGCGACATTCTGCATGCGCGTGCTGCTCCAGAAAAGCTGTGAATTCCGACAGAATGTCTACATCTGCTTCATCGGATTTCGAAAAAGCATTTGACCAAGTACAACACGACCCACGTTTTAAATACATGGAAATAACTGGACTGGACAACTATGATATCAGAATACTAAAATCCCTATACTACAACCAGGTAGCCTCCGCCCAAATCGAAGACAATCATACTCAAACACTGCCCATTAAACGTGGGGTATGACAAGGCTGTGTCCTGCCGCCGAGCCTTTCTAACCTACACAGAAGAAATATTCAAGGAAGCTTTGGATGACAGACAGGAGAGCGTAAGACTCGGCGGAGAACCAATCAACAATATTAGATACGCTGACGATACAGCCATTATCGCAGACAGTCTGGAAAACCTCCAAACACTAATAAATCTAGGGAATGAAGCAAGTCGCCTGAGAGGTCTCAAAATCAACACTGCAAAACCAAAGTGGATGGCAGCCTAAAAAATAAATATACATACTACATAAATACAATATAAATAATGCGAATGCTGACTCTGATGAAGAGATAACAACACGGATTGAAATATCACGCAAAGAAGTGATATTTCAATTCTATGTAACAGAAATCTGTCAATGTAAATTCGTAAGAGGGCCTTGAAATGTTATGTGTGGTCTGTCCTACTTTATGGCTGCGAGACATCAATAATGAACAGAATAGAAGCATTTGAACTTTGGAGCTACCGCCGAATTCTCAAAATACCGTGGGTCTCGCATACTACAAATGAGGATGTCCTCAGTACGACAACTGGTGAACATTATAAAGAGAAGAAAAACGGAATACGTTGGACATATAGCACTAGAGCACCGAAATACCAGCGATTGCGCCTCATAATACAAGGAAATGTCGAGGGTAAAAAGTGGATAGTGGTGTCTGAAGACCGACAAGGAACCTGAAGAAGAATAAACAGAAAATGTTTTAAATGAAATAGAGCATATTTCTCGGAAATATTTAGAATAGGACAAAATGTGATTATGGACAACTTTGACAATGTAAAACAATTTAAACATTTAGGGTCCACAATCACATCCGACGACATGAGTGAAGAAATCAGAGAACGCCTGAAGTCAGCCAACAGGTGCCTATACGCCCTAAAGGATATAGTGAAGTCCAAATGAATGACTAGGAGAACGAAAATCAAAACGTACCAGACCATGATAAGACCCGTGGTAATGTACGGTTGCAAAACCTGAACTCTTACGGGCGAAATGCGGAACTCATTCGAAGATTCGAGAAAAGTGCCCAGTAAAATTTTCGGACCCACCAAAAACCAGGATACACGGAGCTACCGAATGGAAACAAATGCAGAACTAAACAAGTATACATCCAGCCAAGCTGAATAACCTCATAAAGGCACAAAGATTGAAATGAGCAAGGCACGTACGAAGACAGCCAGATGATAGAATGATCCGCTTAATAGGGTACAGAGCACCAGAAGGAAGACGACCACTTGTAAGACCGAGATTAAGGTGGCGCGATAATATAGCATCTGACCTCCGGAAAATGGGCATCGAGAATGGTCTAGAAGTTATGGAAGACCGAGACAGATGGAGGCAAATTGTTACCTCAGTCAAGGTCCACCAGGGGTTGTAGCGCTACGGAGTAAGTAAGTAATGGATGTTGAACTAACATATTAAATTGTATAATACTTAAACTGTAATAATTAAACAGTACATAAACTGCAAATTAAAAATCTATATATCACAGAAGTTGAATTCGAAATGTCCATTCGTTCCTTCGTGAGAGTCTCGAATAAGGTGGGTCACCCTGTAAGGTTACGGCTCTGAGAGGGTACATGTGTGTAATATAAGTTAAGTACATAATTATTGGCTTGCCCTTCTAGATAACATAAAAAGTTTTGCGGAATTTTTCATACCTTATTTCACTGCTAGCATTTAACCATTGAACATTTTTCAAATGAAAGCTTATTATTATGTTTGAAATGACAACTTGTATAGTATTAGGAGTTGGAATTAGTTTCAAAGGTTTTCTAAGAAATCGCGTTATAAACGCATGTGGGCACTCCAAAACTATTGACGTACCGCGGGGTAAATTTATTTTTCGTAATTTCTTTTTCCGCCATAAACACCCCTCGCATTCACCCTTAAACTAATGGTGCGCGGTAGCGGTCAGTGCGTCCAGGTTCGAGGGTGGTGCGGGGGTGCGGTCGGGAAAAAGGGATAGTACGGTCAGTCCTGTGAACCAGTCCCAAAGGAAACGCGTACGCGTACGGAGACAGTCCAGGGTACTCAAAAAAAAAAGAAGGCTACCGACGCCACGCCACGCCATTTTCTTTTTTTTATCGAGTGCCGGATTTCAACGAAATCCAGTTTTTTCCGGAGTATCCTTGCTCCTTGATGCCCAGGGAAACCGCTGAACCTACCGCGGAACTATTGTGCGCGCCCAGAGACAAGACTATTTGCCCGCCGCGGTACGTGGGACAATTGTGCGCGCCACAGGTACCGGAGCCATAGACTCCCGTAATTTTAGTTTATTTTATAGATTCTTCTTAATTGTAGTTGGTTTCTGTTCTGTTTGTTGTTTTTTTTTTGTGTTTTTTTGTTTGGTAGTTTACATTGCGCGCAGAATCGCGCGCAAGCGGGGGGGTACTACCCAAAAGAAATACCTGGCATCCCGTCATATGGGAAACCCCCACGTTATCCATTAAATTGTGTGCGTTGTGTTTGACTTGGGTGTTCTTTTTTTTGTGCGCATCCACCATCCCAGCGCCCAAAATACAGGGACCGGGTCGCGATTCCCATTTCGGTAGTGATACTCCGGAAATGCCCTCCGCTCGCAACTCGAGCGAATGGAGGGGGGATCTGCGCCACACTATATTTGCGCTGAAGCACTATATTAAAGCTTGGATTGTAAGTATGTGTCATCTTGCGCAAGTGTAAACAACATATATTCCAAGACCATTCAATATGCCGACTTTCGTGCCGAATAAACGCAATTTGCGGGAAGCTTTATTGTTCTGCTTCCATTTGAAGAAAACTGTTGCTCCGAGTAGTTTGCTCCTCGAGGACGCTTACGGGGGTTACACTTAAGCGATTTCAACATGTGAGTACTGGTTTCGACGCTTCAAAAGTGGTGATTTTGACACCGATGGAAAGGAATGTCCCGGTCAGCCGAAAAAGTTCGAAGACGAAGAATTGGAGTCGTTACTCGACGAAGATCCGTGTCAAACGCTCCAAGAATTGTCCGTATAATTGGGAGTTGACCGAACAGTCGCCAAAGGTCTCAAAGCGATGGGTATGATTGCAAAGCAAGGAAATTGGGTGCCATACGAGCCGCAGCCGAGAGACGTGCAGAGGCGGATTCTGACGTGCAAAGAACTGCTCGCGCGTCAAAACGGAAAGTTTTTTGCATCGCATCGTCAGTGGCGATAAAAAGTGGATCCATTACGACAACTCCAAGCGAAAAAATCTTAGATACCCCGGCCACACATCGTCATCAACGCTAAGGCCGAATATCTATGGATCCAAGCTCATGCTCTGTATTTGGTGGGATCAGCTGAGCGTCATTTATTATCAGCTGCACAAACCGAACGAAACCATCACCGGGGACCTCTACCGAACACAATTGATGCGTTTGATCCGGGCATTGAACGAAAAGCGGCCGCAAAAGTCATTTGGCAACATGACAACGCTCGTCCTCATGTCTCAAAACCCAAAATCCGTCAAAAAGTACTTGGAAACGTTGAAATGGGATGTTCTACCGCACCCGCCGTATTCCCCAGATATTGCCCCGTCCGATTACTACTTGTTCCGATCGATGGCACATGACCTGGCTTACCAGTACTTCACCTCTTCCGAGGAAGCGAAAAAATGGATCGATACATGGATCGCATTAAAAGACGAACTGTTCTTCCGAGCTGGTATCCGAAAGTTGACAGAAAGATGGGAAAAGGTAGTGGCTAGCGATAAACAATACTTTAAATAATCCATTTGTAACCATTTTTGCTCAATGTAGCCTTAAATTTGAAAAAAAAACCTTTAAAAGTAATTCCAACAGCAATGCGCAGTATTCCATTAAATACATTTTTTACAATTATTATTGGAACGCTGATCAAAATATAGATGCACGACAATTAATTCCATTAAAAAGCGATAATTTAAACTGAGTTGTTGATTCGGATTTCAGCTGTTAATAATACTCACCAGCCACTGATGTCGTTTAGTTGAAGTTTCATCTCTGCCTGGCAAGTCAGGTTGGGGCTTGATCCACGTATGGGGAACTGCTTTCATTAATTTTTCTGGATCCTCTGTCCTCAGACATTCTATTGTTTCACATTTTAGATGTAGAGGCATGTTGTGAAGTTCCGCTTTTTCACGAGTTTCACTAGGATAAATGGCTCCCCCAGACGAAGCCCAGGCTCTGCGAAAAACGTAATTCGCTTATTATAAAATATTTGCTTAAGGTGGCGTTTATGTACCTAGTGAAATATTTGTTCGCGTTATGGATAGTCGTGAGAGCCGTAACTATAGTTGCTCCAGCTTTGTGGCCGAACAGCGTAACAGAATCTTTGTCCCCGCCAAAGTGTTGAATGTTCAGCTGAATCCAGTTGAGAGCCAGCAAAATGTCTGAAAGGCCATAATTGCCTGATGTGTGTGGATAATCAGCCTTGCTCAATATGTCTGAAAAATTCAAACACACCCTTTTTGTAATAGGAAGGGGCGCTCAAGCGTTTAATGTAGACTTTTGTTATTTTTTTACGAAAATTTAGCACAGCTAAGCTCTAAAACAGTGGTTATTAACGTGGGTTCGGTCGAACCCCAAGGGTTCGTTGGAGATCAAAACGTACACCCGAAAGTCAACCCCCGAAAGTCAACCCCCGACTGCTGTGACGTCACGAGTAGACCGAGCCGGTACAATACCACAGAAATAGAGTAGCTGCTCTCACAGTGAAATATAATAATCACCGCACATTTTTGCAGTTGCTTTCTTTGGTAATGTGATAAAGACTGGCTTTGCCCAATCACTAGAAATGTGTCCACTGGCATATCTTCTTCTTCGGGTGCCATGTGCGTGCTATGCTGCACGTCGGCGACCGTTTGCACATTTTATGGTCACAGAATAGCTAGGTGCTCCTTGCAGTACTAGCTTTGGTATGGAGTAGCGGGGTCCTCTCAATATATGCCCCAGATATGACACCTTACGTTTTTTACATCGTAGAACTTCATTATTAGTTATGTGTGTTGTCGAGGGGATACGAAGCAATTGGCGGAGTGTCCACAACTCAAAAGCTTCGATTCGATTTAGCGTTCTGGCTTTAAGTGACCAAGTTTCGACACCGTACAAAACAATAGGCCATACATAACATTGTACTACACGTATTCGAGTGTGTAGTGGCATGTTTCTGTGAAGAAGTATATTCTTAAGTTTAAAGAAGGTTGTTTTCGCGCGACCAATTCATCCTTTCACTTCTTCGTCACATTCCCACTGTTCATTTAAAGAAACGCCAAGATAGGTAAATTTGGCGACACGTTCAATATTTACTCCGTTGATGTTGAGAGTGGTAATATGCTGATCTCTGCTAATCACCATCATTTTTGTTTTGGTATTATTTATATGTAGTCCGAACTTTTCACCACATTCGTTGATTTTATTTAGTATTGACTGGAGGTCTTCAAGGTTATTAGCCAGGATAGCTGTATCATCTGCGTAGCGGATATTGCTTATTGGGACGCCATTGACTTTGATACTTCGGGTTTCATTTTCTAATGCTAGTTGGAAGATTTCTTCCACATAAATGTTAAATAAAATGGGTGCCAGTACACATCCCTGACGCACTCCCTTCGAAATACCAAAGGTCTCCGTTGATAGCTCGCCATTAATACGGACCTCTGCCTGCGGTTTCCAATACAATTCCTTTATTACTCTAACATCTTTATTATATAAACCGATCTCCTGGAATCTCTCCAGCAGCGGTCCGTGCTTTACGTTATCAAAAGCTTTTTGATAATCGATAAAGCAGACAAAAACATCCTGCCTTTGATCATAGCACTTTTGGACGAGCAATTTCATTGAGAACAGAGCTTCTCTCCAAATGGCCTGATAAATCCAAACTGCGTGTCACCACTCATATCCTCACACTTTCTGTAGATTCTTGAGTGAATTACTCGAAGGAACGCTTTGAGCGCGTGGCTCATCAGGCTGATGAGTCTATAGTCTTCGCAATTTCTGGGGTTTGCTTTCTTTGGAATGGCAACAAACGTAGACTTTAACCAATCCCTGGGGATTTGCCCAGAGTCATATTACGTTGAAGAGATATGTAAGATGTTTGATATTTACTTGCCTCAAAACTTCTGCATATATGTCGTCATGACCCGGTCTTTTACCACTCTTCATACAACTTATTGCGTATTTGACTTCAGACTCAAGAAATTTTGGACCGCTCATATTTTCGGTAGTGTTTGTGGGGTTATTTGCACGCAGGTCCTTGGATAGTGCCTCCGCGTAATTCCTCCAGGCTTCTTTTAGTTCGTCAGCATCTGATATCGGTCTTCCTTGTTGATTTCTTATTGACGGCAACGCTGTTCTTATACTCACCCCAGTTATTTCCTTCATTATAATTTATTTTTAACTTTTATTATAAGTTAAAGGAGTCATGCAGCTGATGAAGTCTCAGCTTTGATTGAGATTGAGAGTCTCAGCTTTGATGAAGACAACAGTTTACATCTAAGACTGAAGTTCGCAACAACGGGGTTATGATCTGAGCCGATGTGTACTCCTGGATATGCTGCCACACGTGTGATGCTGTTCTGATATCTCTTGTTAATCAAAATGTAGTCAATTTGGTTGCGGACGATATTTCCCTGTCTATCTTGAGGTGATTTTCAAGTATAAAGTTTTCTAGGGTGTAGTTTATAGAAAGTGTTCTTAACAGCCAACTTTTCATAGCGACAGAACTGAATTAACATTTCACCTCGTTCATTTCTATCACCCAGACCAAATGCTCCTGTTACACCCTCCACAACACCGCTGCCGACCTTTGCATTAAAATCACCCATTACCACATTGATATCTTGAGGTTTTAAAGACTGCAGAACATCCCGGACTTGCTCATAAACTTGTTCAACTTCAATTTCTGTTCCGTCCACTGTAGGTGCATACGCTTGTTCTATATTGATGTTAGTCGGTCTGGCACTTATTTGCAACAGTATTATTAGGTCTCAGTATGCTACGACATTCTTCACATATTTATCCATCTCTTTGGATACAATTTCTTAGCACCCTCTGGTGATTTAACACCTGCCCGGGACTAAGGGGCGTTGCTTTTGGTTTTCTTGCCATTATAAAGAGTGGGTGGACAAAATTACGTCCTGGGGAAACGTTCCGTTGGTAATTGTGCAGCTTTTCGCTTGTGATTAATTCCAGTAGCTTCCTTGATTGTCTTGCACATGTTGAACGCATCGTATTTTCCTCCAGTTTCTCCATATCCAAATGCAATTTGAAACAAATTAATGAAATTACGGCACAAATATCAATCTTTAACGCACATCCAAATCCAACTTCAAGAATGTAAATGGGCTTGTAAAATTCTGCTACGATTACAGTGCCAAGCTCAACCAGCGCCAAATCCAATCTTGAGTTTATAAATCTGCCTTTAATGTAACAAACAGCAATGTCCAGAATTTCTGTAATCAGCCTTGTTCAGTAAACATATAACAAAAATACTGACTAGTTTTGTGCCTTGTCATTGTTTTGACGTGCCGAGGGAAAGAATCGCAAATTTTTTATTTTTTTTTCCTCCGGCCGGTTCTGAACATTACTCGCTTGCACCCTGGAACTACCCGCGCGTCCTTCGATTGAGGTCGGGTTCCAAGGGGACTTCGGGGGAGCGGTCGGAAAGAAAAAGTGCATCGATAGTCAGTCCCAAAAGAGTGTGCTAAACGGCAGGACGGGTGTTTGGGCTTTTTTTCGTTCCGGGACGCCAACTCAACGCCACGCAAAGCTGCCATTTTTTTTTTAAACCAAATCCTGTTTTTTTCGAGGCATCCTAGCCCCTAGAAACTCGAATCGCGGAAGGTCACTGTGCGCGACCCGTCAGTGACAAGACTCACCAGTTTTTTTTGTTTTTATGAGATACTTTTTCTTTGTTCTGTTTGTTTGTTTTTTGTATTTTAGTTTTTTTTATTTCTTCATGTGTGGTACGCATTAAAGAAACTGAAACAGGGGGGTACTACCCTAAACAAGTACCTGGCATCCCTACGCGCCGAACCATTAGAACAATTTTTTTTTGTTTAAATCTTGGTTTTATTGTGCGCAACCATCACCTTGTCATGTAGGGACAAGGTCGTGATTCCCGCTCTCCACAAGAGGAGACAGAAATGCCCTCTGCTCGCAACTCAAGCGAATGGAAGGGGAATCTACGCGACAGTTTACATACATTATAACAAAATGAAGTAAAACTGGAGAAAACCATTTTTCCCATAGAATGATCCAACGGGTCAAAAGCCGTAGGGCCTTACGCCTTACACTCCAGAATTGTCTTTTATTGGTGCACTGAACAATTCCTAGAAGTTTGATCTCATCGTTCTAAAGCACTGTCGTATAGAGTGCGACTCCACAAAAAAGGGTAAATAAGGCGTACACTTCGAGGGTAGCGGAGTCGGCCAAAACGGGTCAATAAGCTCAATTCGCGATTGACGGCCGAGTGGAGTGACGCTCTGATTTTTAGCCATTTTTTGGGTGTGACCGGAGACCTTTCGAGAGCACCGACGCTTGAGCTTTTTTCGGTTCGCGGTTTTGCTCAACCAAAGTTTCGTTCTTTACCTTTGCTCTGACCCTCACGTTTCGCAGTGTGCAGGGTCCCCAGAACACTGGTTTTTCTCAAAACCGAGTTTTCTGACGAGCCGTTATCTTTCGGCCACGTTCGTGCGCCCCTGGCGACTGGCGAACCTCGTTGGAGAAAATCGCGGGCTTTTCACTTTTTCCGAAGCTATGGGTTTTCCACTCGTGTCGCTTCCGACCCAAGTGCTCTCACTTAACCACGTGTTTTGCTGGACCTCGGGTGTAGCCACACCCGTACATGTGTTAATTAAGCCCCTGGTGTGGGGATTTTTATTACCATAGAGAGTTGTTCCCACTTTTGTTGGTTTCCATATCCCCTTTTGCCGTTCAGGAACCTTGCGCCTCCCCATTGAACGCGCCAAGATACAGAATCCGGGAATAAACACCCGACGTTTTTTCAATTCCTTGCTGGTTTAGGTAAAATCATGCTGGCATGATTCTGGTCTGGATGGAACTTTCTAGGCTTAGTGACCTTTTTGATTAAATTTCTAAGCCCGGTGGCAGTAATTAATTCCCCTTTTTCTATTTTTATTATTATTTTTTTCGTTTAATTTACAAATTTGTGCGTTTACACAATGGAACGAAAATATAGCGCATTAAACCGTAATCCGACCACGCCAGGGACATCGAGATCGAGGACTCTAAGGTTCCCCAAATGGAAAGAAATGAAGCGATTGGACGCGGAACCCCGGGCCTGTCACTCCCGCGTTCAACTACTTCGAGCGAATGTTACGGCTTTGAGAATACAGCCCGACGCAACAGCACCCTGTGTAGATCTGTTTTGCTGTTAACCGTCAAAATATATAAAATTTTATCAAAATGTACTAAGCGTTTCTGCAATATTAGTCGAACTTTAGTATTAAAACATTCTCCATTTTTTGCGCGTTTTTGAAATATTGCACTTTAAAAAATACATGTACTATAACTTTAACCAAGAAATTCATCGACCTACACTCTGTATCCTACTATGGGGTACTCAACAATATGAGTAATATATACATATGAAAGATTAAATAAGTTTATACACTCTATCTATTGCTATTTTGTTAAATATTTAATAAACAAATTCAGCTCAAATTCTAAATATTCATGAATCTCTAAAACGCAATCCTATTGGTTGTGACGTCTCTGGTCATATAAATGGCGGTTTGTTTACGTTCTGTGCATAGTGTATCATTAAATTAATTATTTTGTGGATTTAAATAATTTATAGTTTGTAATAAACTAAAAAATGGCATCAGAAGAATTCCTTAAAGCGTCAACAAACAATTTACCATGTGTACGTATTTTTCTGGTTACCGAATTTTAAAAAAACGACGAACGCTTCAATTCAGCCAAATTTAAGGGTGTCAAAGCAGCAGCGTAAGTAAAAATCCGAAAATTCATTATTAGTTATTCTCTCCTTAATCTGTCTGTATTGGTTTAAATTAGGTAAATAATATACAGGGTTGCTCCTTAGTGCGTCAAAGTGCGATATCTCAGTAAATATGAACTTTACAAGAAAATACGTCCTACGAAAGTTTTTCATGTTTAAAAGGTCCACATTTTAAAATTACTTTCCAATATACGGGGTGTATCATAAACGTGTGGTAGTTACCAACTCTGGTTTTTTAAATGAAACCCCCCCTTTTTTTTGTTATTTTCAGATTGGCCGTTCAATTTTGATTTATGTTTGTTTCAACCGTTTTACCTGAAAAATTTACGATTTCCGAGTTATTCGTAAAAATGTGAAAGTTTTGACAGCTACTGGGTTCCACAGAAATCGATACTGTACACTACCCGCTGCGAATTTTGGAAAACAGTTTTCAGCGATTCTAACAGTAGATATGTTTTCATGATCTACACGTAGATCTGTTTTAAATTATAAGGAAATACTTCTAAACCGCGCAATTAGCCTCTAAACTTGCATGTTTTTAAACCTCAAAAAGTTGCTTATTTCAAATGGAA